GTGTCTGACGGTTTTGTAGCCAGGTTCAAGCTTTTTTTTTTTTTTTTTTTTTTTTTTTTTCCAAGGGCATCGGAGAATGTGCACATAAAGATGCATCGGGCAGTGTGTCGGGACCGCGAGTCGGGGAGGAGCTGTCTCTTATACACATCTAGATGTGTATAAGAGACAGGGGGAGAGGGGAGAGGGGAGAGGGGAGAGGGGAAGGAATTGGGAGGTAGAAAAGGGATAGGCAAAAAAGGGAATGGCAAGAAGTGGACAGAAAAGGGAAAGAAGAAAGGCAGAGGGATAGAGGAGCAACGAACATCCAATGCCATAAGGTCCTGCAACCAGCCATGCCTGTTTTTGCCTTTTGCAAACTGTGACAGACCCTTCATAGAGACAAGCAACTGAGCACTGAAATACCATCATGACCTACATCTTTAGGCGTACTCACACAAATACCTTCTTGCGTGTATCTGACTGCCAATATGGCCGAATTCACTACAAAAGGCCCTACTAGTGTGAATATGCCGTTTGATAACCACCCCCGCCCACATGCATGTTTTGCTCTCCTGAGTTTCCTCTCTTCTCACAAAAATAGATGCCACTGTGTTTGATAGTGTCCAGGAAAGTCCTCTGGAAAACCCAAATATATCATCATTAGATCTGTCTCTTATACACATCTAGATGTGTATAAGAGACAGCCCAATGGCAGAAGGCCAAAAGACAGGCATCACTAAGTCCAGAACGGGCCAAGGACCTAGCTGAAAAATTCCAGAAAAAGACGCTGGCCCAGGGCAAAGTAGCCACTATCGAAGGAGCTCGGCTGGTCTTTCATTGGTTTCGGGAGGGACAGCGGGAGCTCCCCATGGGAGACCCATCAAGTACCCCCCGTCTCAGTCTTCCACCTGTCTCTTATACACATCTAGATGTGTATAAGAGACAGAGCTAAGGTGACGCTCTACAACCTCATGGAAACGGATATCAGAGCCCAATGGCAGAAGGCCAAAAGACAGGCATCACTAAGTCCAGAACGGGCCAAGGACCTAGCTGAAAAATTCCAGAAAAAGACTCTGGCCCAGGGCAAAGTAGCCACTATCGAAGGAGCTCGGCTGGTCCCGTCAAGGGCAAAGTCGCCACTATCGAAGGAGCTCGGCTGGTCTTTCACTGGTTTC